CAAGTATAATTCAACTCTACCATATAATAAGTCTAAGTTATTCATCATGTTTCATTCAGAAACATCGTCATAGGACTGGTCGGTCGTATCGCATAGATTTCAAATTCACAAAAATCAAACTAGCACATTATTATTACTTCAGCCGATATGCCCCATTGCCAGCAATCGAGATGATTCTATTTGGGCCAAGTTTGGCCTCCCTATGATCCTTCTTATTGCCGACAACCTTTCTCAGGATGAGGTCCCTAACCTTGAACTTTGTTAGGCTGACCTTCTTGTTGTAAGCCCTAGCAAATTGTTGCTGGTATGCCCCCAGCCGAATTGCTATTCTCTCGCACGTTGCAGGTGGATTTCAACAACATTTTCATGCTTTTTTACATAGGCTTCGGCTTCCTTTTGCATTTAAGGCCAAAAGAATCCCTGCGATATTGCTCTATGGGCAAGGGATCTGCCCCCTGCATAGTTTTCACATACTCCTTTGTGGACTTTATATAAAAATTCTTTAACCTGGGAAGGATGTACACATCGTAATATAGGTCCAGTTAAAACTCTTCTGTATAGATGGCCTTCTGCCGACAGGCAGAACCTGGCCGACTTTAGTTTGAACTTGTGTGCTTCCTTTTTATCTTCAAGGATCTGAGATCTGCTTACTTAGGCTGAGCTCTTCTCTTCTTGGACGTAATCATCTAGGCCGAAATCTTGTCTTCTGAAATCTGGGATCTGCTCACTTTAGGCTGAGCTCTTCTCTCCTTGGACCTAATCATCTAGGCTGAGATCTTATCTTCTAGAATCTTGGATCTGCTCACTCAGGCTGAGCTCTTCTCTTCTCGAACCTAATCATCTAAGCCGAGATCGTGTCTTCTGGAATCTTGGATCTGCTCACTCAGGTTGAGCTCTCGTCTTCTCGGACCTAATCACCTAGGCGGAGATCTTGTCTTTTGGAATCTTGGATCTGCTCACTCAGGCTGAGCTCTTCTCTTCTCGGACCTAATCATTTAAGCCGAGATCTTGTCTTCTAGGATCTGGGATCCGGGATCTGGAATTTGGGATCTGTTCACTTGGGCTGAGCTCTTGTCTTTTCGGACCTAATCATCTAGGTCGACATCATATCTTCTAGGATCTAGGATCCGGGATCTAGAATCCAAGATCTGAGCTTTTGTCTACTCAGACCTAAGTATCTAGGCCGAGATCTTGTTTTCTAGGATCTGGGATCCGGGATCTGTTCACTTAGACTGAGCTCTTGTCTTCTCGGACCTAATCATCTAGGCCGAGATCATGTCTTCTAGGATCTGGAATTCGGGATCTGAGCTCTTGTCTTCTCGGACCTAATCATCTAGGCCGAGATCTTGTCTTCTCGGCACCAGTTTTGGTTGTTGGTGCCGACATGTCCTAGAATAGGGATGTTCGGTTGCATCACGTTGTTCTGCATCATGAGGTTGACCACTGTCTGTAGATTTGTCAACATATTTGCCATGTTTTTCAGTTTTCTCGTCTTTTCTCCAGCATTTGTCCCTGCATACCTGAAGGTCCCTTTCTCAGTAGAACTCATCTCGGCTACTCTTTTTGTTCCCTTCCCGGCCTTTGGTGACATTATTCGCCTTAGGATTCACTTTTTGCACTTTTCTGTTATGGTCCAATTCTTTAGTGTTAGGATCTACATGCTCCTCCTCTTTATTGTGGATGTTGTCCCCAATCCTCATTTCTTGTTCGTTGTTGGCCATCTATCCTTACTAAGTTCCCACAGACGGCGCCAAATTGTGGGTGTTGATTTCCAACCACATAACTAAACGGGAAACTCAGCTGGAGAGCACCGGCAGAATAGATTAAGCCCGAACACTTGCCAACAAGAAGATGAGAATACCGTGGTAGTTCCTCCACCCGAGGGCACTCCGACGATCAAGTCAGTAATCAATCTCTCTCAAAGATAACAAATAGTGCTTAACTCACTAGACAGAATATAAAAAGTATACCTTAGACCCATGGGGGTGCCTCACTTTTTATAGTGGTCAGTGTCTAACTTCCCCTAGAAGTCTTACTTCATGGGACTCTATCTTTTACAAGGATAACATTTATCACAACTCACATTATTCAGATTAAGATAAACTCCTTCAAGAGTCCTATCTCTATCCAAATAGGTAGCTTGATGTCATCTAGGACTCTAGTCCTCTCGAATTCCGGTATTATTGCACTATATCTCGGCATCATGGTCCACCCACGTGGTTCCTCGGCTAACAACCTCGGCCACGTGGACTGCCCAAAAATATGTCCCCACATATATATATATATATATATATATATATTTTAAATTGAAACTCATCTCCATATGTCAATTAGAGGCTTGTAGATTTTATGTTACCCAAAACTCTCCTTGGGCGAAATCTATTACACTTGTAAAATCACCTTAGTAATTTGAAAAAATTAGTGAAACATTTCTCTTCAACTTTTGGTAGTATGAGAAATTTAATATATTTTTTTTCTTAATTAAGGTCTCTCAATAATATTATTAGAGAAATTTCAGCTTGTTTCTCTGTGACGAATTTTTCTGTGATGAGTAGAAATTTCTATGTCTAAATTTTTCTCTGAAAATATTGAAGAACCCCAACTACTATGAAAATGTTACATGTACTATCTTATAAAATCTTAATATGAAATCCCTAGTAATTTTATACACACAAGATTAAATTATAAAAAATGTCAAACATTTATTTTTGGTAAAAATAATGTGGATAGTTTCAAATGAGTATGGGTGTCTTATATGATATTTTTTATAATTTAATTTTGTGTATGTAAAATTACTCAAATCACATTCCCATCTACTCTTCCATTTTTTGGAATATTGTTAATGTGATTAGGTAGTAAAACCAACTATGCTATTTGATCTGGACTTGTGTTCTGTTTCTTAAAAAATTGTTCAAGATCCATTTGTAATATAAATAAAGTTAAATTTGAACAATTTATTATTCAACTCAATAAACTTACATATACAAAATTAAATTACTCAAACTCAGCTCGTCATTAGCTCGATTAAAGTTTATTTGCAATTAGTTGAAAAAGTAAGCAAGTTAATCTTAAATACATTTAACATAAACAATCTATTACTTGACTTGAGTCAACTTATTTATAGCTCTTAATGTAAAACACCCAAAATGTTGGTGTCCATTTTTCTTTCTCATTTAGCCTTTTTTCATGCTAATGTAAGAGAGAAGTGCATGAAAATAAATATATAAAATTATTTTATAATGCCAAAAGAAACATATTTATTAAGATTTTACTATTGATCGGTAACTAATATGAGTGGATGAACTCATTCAAACAAATTAATTTTAACACATAAAATAATAAACAAAATAGTAAGGGATCAATTTCATTATTATAGTATTATTAGAAATCATTGTGGGGCCCATGGTAAAATGGGCTCTTTGTTCAGGTTCAATTAAATCTATGATTTATGCTAGTAAATTAGGGGGAAACTTACCAATAAGTCCCATATACAAAGTTTAAGGCTCATCTAATTCTCAAACAAAACACTTGCACCAATTAGTCTTACATAATTTTAATTGTTACCAAAAAATCTTTTTTTTTTTTTTTTAAATTTGCAGACACTGTTATATCTTACTACCGTCGGACTTCCGTCAAACGGTTACCGGAGACTCGTTGGAATGTTCAACATCACCGGAAAGTCGCCGGAGTATTGTTGAAAAGTCACCGGAGTATCGCCGAAAGTTCACCGGAGTGTTAAGAACGTTAATGGAAGTCGTCGGAATGTTCAAAACGTTCACTGGATGTTAAGCACATCATTGGAGACTCACCGGAATGTTTAGAATATTGCAGAAAAAAAAGAATAAATGAAGAAATTAGAGCAAAAAAATATAGCAAAATGTGTTAAATATTGATAAACTAAAAGAAAAAAAAATAAAACGACAAAAAACAACAACAATGGAAAAAACATATGCTATTTTTCAATTTTTGTAAGGTTTAGGCAAATAATCTCCAATATTGATCAAACTGAAAAGTAAGTTTTGAAATTGTAAAATGTTACAGTTTCAAAGCAAAAATCTATTAAGCATTTATCCTTATTAATCAAACTGAAAAACATGTTATGAAACTGTAAAATTTTAAAGTTCCAAAGAATGTTATGAAACTGTAAAATTTTACAGTTTTATACCATGATTCATTCTAGCACCAAAAAAATTTGAAACTGCAAAATTTTACAGTTTTCACCGCCTGTAACTAAAACTCGAAAACTACTTGTTCAGAACTTGAAAATTTTCTCCATTAGAACAGAAAAAGAGAAGTGTATAATAGAGAAAATGTAGAAAAAAATAAGAGATCGAAGGAGAGAGGCGGATATAGAGAGAGGATTGTATTCCGACAATTATTTTTTGTTTAGATCTTGCCATATCTGATGTAGATCTACTCAAATCTGATGTAGATTTACATCAGATCTAAGTAGATCTACTCATCTTCTTCGTCGGAAATATATCTTCTTCGCCATCGGTGAGGGTGAAGTCACGAGTTGATTTTGATGGTTGGTGGTTACTGGCGAACCCCGATCAATGGAGAAAAACGTGATCACCGGTCGTCGTCCATGACAAAGAAGATGAGAGAAAAATACAAAAAAAAAAAAGAGAGAGAGGAAAACGTAAAGAGTGAGGCAAAAAGCACACAGAGAGAGAGAGAGAGAGAGAGGAAAGTAGGACTTTTGGGTTTACTCAAAAAGTTGTTAGATTAAATAGTGTGCACATATTTCAAATAGGACCTTTGGGTAATTTTTCCTAAATTAAGTTCCCATCTAACTAGTTACACCTAAACCATGTGAATTTCAGAAGAGGTCATTGATAATACAACCTACCCCACCATGTGACCTAAAATCAGATCTTAATCCCATGCCATGCCATCCCATCCCATCCCATCCCATCCTCCACCAAAAAAATACTATAAAAATTGCTCCACCCCCTCCCTCTCTCTATAGGGGTGAAATGAAAATGGTACAAATGTAAAGAGAAGTGTGCTTGTTTCTAGCCATCATTAGTGGAGGCCTCTTCATTAGCTTGGTGGCTGCAGGTGGAGGAGATTGGAACATTTTGAATCATCATCACAAAAACAGGCCATTCAATGTGAATGTAAATGTACATGTGAGTGGTGGCAACGGCGGTGGCAGTCACAGCGGCAGCCTGAAGAATTACTGCGAGAGTTGGAGGATGAATGTGGAGATGAACAACATAAGGGGATTTGAAGTAGTTTCTGAAGAATATATTGACTTCATAGGAAAATACATGACCTCTTCTCAGTACAAGGCTGACTCCGAGAGGGCCATCGAAGAGTCTTCACTCTATCTCAGTAGTTGCTGCTTTTTCAAAGGTGATGGCAAAGATGCATGGATCTTTCACATTGATGACACCCTCTTATCTACTCTACCTTACTTCAAGAAACACCACTTTGGGTAAGTCTCCCATCTACTCTGAAATTTTTGTGTGTTTTTCTATGATTCAAAAACATTTGTCATTGTTAGATTATACGAGATGAGAACACTACAAGAATTTACACTTTTGCCGACCAAAAAAATTTTGGTCGCAAAAAAATGACATTTGGCGACAAAATATTAATTAGTCGCGAATGATCATTATTTTGGCGACCAAATATTATTGGTCGCAGAAGGTTATATTTCGGCGACCAAAAAAAGAGTTGGTCGCAGAAAGTGGTATGCTTTTGCCGACCAACTAAAAATTTGGTCGCGGAAGGTCACATATTTTTTGGCGACCAAAAATTTGGTTGCCAAAAACTTGTTTTCAGCAACCAAAAAAAATTAGTCACCAAATTAGTACTTTTAGCGACTAATATTTTAGTCGTCGTTGAATGAGATTTGGCGACTAAAAAAGTTTGTCGGCGAAGGTACATTTTCTGCGACTAATATGGTCTTTTGGTCGCCAAAAGTTTGAGAGGGAAATTTGATTTTTAGTGGGGGCGGGAATTGAAATTTTTTGGCAACAAATAAATTTGGTCGCTAATTTAAAAACGACGTCGTTTTGTACCATGAAATCAGAAAAAAAAAAAAATCAAATCGGTGCCCTCTCTCTTTGTTTCTCGGTCCGCCCTCTCCCTCTCTGTGTTCTTCCTCTCAATCGGTGCCCTCAATCGGTGCCCACTCTCCGCCAAATCGTCTCTGCTTCTCGAGACCGCTCCATCAAGCTGTGGAACACTTTGGGTGAGTGTAAGTACACGATTCGGGATGGTGATGCTCATTCCGATTGGGTCAGTTGTGTTCGATTTAGCCCTAATAATCTTCAGCCTACGATTGTGTCTTCGTCTTGGGATCGGACTGTGAAGATTTGGAAGTTGACCAATTGTAAGATTAGGGCTTCGCTTGCTGGGCATTCTGGGTATGTGAATACGGTGGCCGTGTTGCCCGATGGGTCGCTGTGTGCGAGTGGTGGGAAAGATGGGGTTATTTTGTTGTGGGATCTGGCTGAGGGAAAGAAGCTTTACTCGCTCGATTCGGGTTCGATTATTAATATGAATGTATGAATGTATTGTATTGTAGAACCCTAGATGTCTTAGGATATTTTCAATTCCTACATTAAGTATACATGTCAATGGATCAATACTTTTTCTTACTGTAACCTCTATGATTTTTGTTTATTTGTTTTTACCCTAATCAAAGATATTAGAATTTTATTTTTCTTGTCTTCCTTTACAAGGAATTCTGAATTGCAGCCTGATGGATTAGCTACATCACATGTGGTTTAAGATTGCCGAGAATCCTCTTAGTTCTGTTTTTGTGTTGATTTTTCTTGCTTCATACTAATTTAGGTAATATGTATAATTATGCAACATCATTGCCAGCATATGTGAGGGTAATGAGTTTACCATAGTCCATCTATCATGATGGTGGATCTTCTCATCTCATTCTGACATGGGTTACTTTTTCATGAACCATGTTAACCTTGTTGTGGCAATATATTTCCACTCTTTTTAGTTGTGGTGTTCTCTAGGGCACATCAAAGATTGTGTCTGTTACTGTGTGTGCCTTCTTTTCTTTCTATAATTTCTCTACAAGATCTGCCTAGATATGTTCTGTATCAGAGATTTATTATGTTGGGCCTCCATTTGGTTATGGACAAACCATTCCCTCTGTGGATGTCTAATTGGGGAATTAATGTTTCTACATGCAAATGTCTAATAGCATGATCTTGTTTCAAATTTACTTATTAAAAGGAAAATCATGATCTTGTTCCACTTTTAATTATGTATTTTTTGTTGTTTTAAATAATTTCTAGTAGTTGGCATATATATTATTGAGGGCTATGACGTTCTGATTCTTTTTATATTATGTGGTTGTTGAATTGTGAGTTTTTACCTGTGTCTTCCAAGTGTATGCAAGATGGATTTCAGTACACCTATTGTGTATATATATATATTTTAGTGTCTATTAGAGGAGTCATGTGTTGGTTTCCTCCATCTTCTAATGTAATTCTGTTCAAGTATTGTAAAAAACTATGTTTTTTATTTTTTAAATTATGCTATTTCATAGTTTGTGGACAGCTTTATATGCATTAACGTTGTTCGGTCATTGTTGCAGGTGGGCGTCCTCCACCAGAAGAGGTGGCATGACTGTTTTGGGAAAATTTGCTATTCCAAAACCTTTAAACTTACCAAGCCAAAGGTATCTAGCTTGCTGCTTAATTATTTCCATTTTCCTATGTTAATTATGGGGGTTCTCTCTCTGAAATTCTGTTCAATGTTGTTTCAAGGTTAGAAAATCATGGTCTGAACCCAAGTGTGGAAATTGTTCCCAAGTGAGTAATACATAGTCTTGGTGATATATACTCTCTCTCTCTCTCTCTCTCACACACACACACACACACACACACACACGTGCATGTGCAAGCACTTGGAGACATGCACACCTTTTTATGATCTTTCCTCATCTGATAATTCAGTTGCATGGGGTCCAACTGGTGTCTCAGAGAAATTGGTAGGATGGCATAACTAAGTTCAGCATTAAATATTCATGTTATAAATTTTTAGTTAAAAAAATATTTATTGTCTTGCTTCTAGTTATTAAAAAAATTGCTGCAATACATTGTCTCAAATCTTATTTATATGAATGATTAGATTTCTTAGTTGGAGCTGCCTTTTTTCATTTTTAACCCTTTTTGTGTTTATAGTAGTTACTCCTGTTAAGGTTGCTGCATTATCTCTTGGCAACTTGACCTAACATATTATGTATGCAGGGAGTGGCAACCTCCAAGAAGGATGGGTTCTCTCTGAGTTCTGGAGACTTTCCGACACTTGGTTCAGAAAAAGACAATTCTGGAAAGAGTCCCGACTCACAAGGTGACAGTGCTTGCATATAAGAACTTCTATGTCAGTTGTCTTCTGTTTGATACTTCTCTTACAGTTCTCCACTTCTATTACATTTGTTTTTGGTTGCCACTGTGATTGATGCATTACATTATTTTTCTACTAGGTTGGTACTCTCTACAATGATCAGAGTAGTCATCTCTTTTTTGTATTTTTCTCAAGTTTGGGTCTTGATAGTTCCATACCTTGCATGGTTCGAGTCTTGTCATTGTACTTAACTGCTCTACAATATAATAAAAGTCCAGGAATTACAATACTTCAGGTTGTGGCAATCTTTACTCTCTTTTTTTCATCAAGTTTGAGTGAAAATTTAGTTAAAAACTTGATCTGCTATACAACACTCCGATTCTTACTCTCTCCTTTTTCATCAAACCTGTTTTAACCATTTTTGATGAAAGAAAATCATCTCCCATCCTAATCATTTTAGAATTTCGTTGAATTTGAGTAAAAATATGTGGTGAAGGATTTGGTTCATCCTTTTGCTGAAAATTTTGCCTCTCCCTTGATTTGATACAAGTTTGATTTGATACAAGTTCAATGAAATAATTGGAGCTCACTTGTTTAGCCCTCTATTCTTCAAATTAAAATTTTGGTCAAAGAATTGGTGAAGGATTGGAGGTGCTCTATTAGCATGCATGTAAAGGCTAATTGTTGCGACCCATTTGCTTTGGAACTCTGTTTTGCAGAAACATTGCTTGGTCATCCTTGAAGGGTTTTCTTTCTCCAAAATTGGGAGAACTCTCTTCCTTACAAGAACTGTATGCTTTCCATCTGTACATCCTACACAATTTTCTCTCTTATTTTTTTGTCTTCCAATTATTCTGTTATTTGTTAAGTAGAGCACAAAATGTTTGAAAACTTATTCTGAGAATGGTTGAAACTTAATCTAACATCCTAATGCATTACAGAATTTTGCATGGGAACAATCTGTTGGTTCAATACCCAAAGAAATTGGCATGTTAAAGTACCTAAAGGTCTTGAATTTGGGAAATAATCAACTATCAGGTCCAATTCCTTCCGAGCTTGGGAGCTTGACCAGCCTTCTGAAAATGTAAATGGTGTTTGACATTTTGTTTCTTCAATTGAGTTTATGTGTTTGCTTCTGGTTTGAGATTTTGCTTTTCTTGTTTCAGGAACCTTCAATCCAATGGGTTGACTGGAAAGCTGCCTTCTGAACTTGGCAATTTGAAATACCTTGAGGAACTTCGGCTGGATAGGAATAAGCTTCAAGGAAACGTTCCTGCAACTAACAGTTCAGATTTTACATCCAGCATGCATGGGATGTAAGTAAAAGATTCATATATAATTACACTATAATTCCTCTAAATGTTGCAGTTATCTGTTTGGGGATCGATTTGATGCGCTTTCACTGAAAATAGTTGCTTGTAGCAAGAATGTGAATAATATTAATTTAATTTTTTGTGGTAAGTAAACATGTGAACTTGAATGAAGAAAATAAAAATGTATAACTATATACTTGCACTTCCTAGTTATTTGATGTATAATTTAATTTTTATGATGCCCATGTTTTGATTTGTTTTTTCACCTTTCATAGAATTTCATTGCTTATGTTTCTGTTCAATCATAACTTGCTTTCTATGCAAATTTTGTCTTAGACTATGTGACGGAGATGGCTCAACTGTTTGGCCAATTTATCTTTTTCCTAAGATCCATCAAGAAAACATAATGGTAACAAATTCTTATTGCTGAATGTCTCAATTTTCAAAATTATAGTCAAATAATATCTCATTCTAATTAATTTTTCAAAAACATAAGCCAAGTAAGATTTCATTTTGATATTTAATCTGGAAAAAATTTGGGCCTATGTGTAATATTAGATGGCTGTTGTTAACTGACAACTAGTATTCGTTTTTTTCTTTCTGAAAGTGCATAATTTCAATAGGTCCAATGTTTGAATTTGCAAAACATGGGCATCCAGAATCTGGTGCATAATTTAATGTTTTAATAGTTATAATATCAGATATCAAATATCAGATAGAGTGATCAGAGGTGTACAGTATGGCAATGACAGTAGGCTACACACAGAATGTACCTCAATCCCGTGGGTGACTAAAACAGTTTGTCTCCTCCGTAACATGATGAGTAGTCGGTCAATCGTCCGAAGGAGCTCGTCACCATATGCCCGGGGAATCTGCAAAAGAACAGAAACTGAGAAAAGCAGATAGAAGTAATCGAATAGTGAACAATAATGGCTGAGAATAAGTTAAAGTGCAACATGGACTGGCATAAAAAGAAAATGTACTTGCTCAACACCAAGGGCAAACACAAGTTTGCCGTCCCTCTCCTCGACGGGCTCAAGTGGAATCTGATTAATCACTCCATCTGGACGCATGTACATAATCTCGGTGGGAAACAAAAGCAATCCAGGAATAGGAGCAACGGCAGAGGCACCTCCAATAAGCATATCGCTAGCCCCGGCAGCAAGAGCAACAACAACCTCTGGTACAGCTCGAGCCACGCCTGGAGTAAGAGGTGCCATCACCCGAGTGTGTAAGAAAGTAGTGAAGTCGCCGGGCTCATGGTGACGATCGCCGTCTTCACCTATCATCAAGTGGTCCAGCTCAGGACCATCCTATAAATCATCTACCACCCTCATGCCGGCAGAAGGAGGATGCGAAATATCAGGGTCAGCAACGCCCCGAGTCTAGCGGATGAATCAATCTCCCAGGTAGTATGCCCAGCCAAAAAGGCCCTCGAACAGATCCTCATCGTGGAAGCATGCCAGGCAGCGGTGTAGGTCACCCTCGACACTTAGGGAATGCCTGCCCAAGGGTGCCAGTCAACATGAGAAAATCAATGCAGTGTCAGATATCAGTGCAATGTCAGAATGGCAGTGCGGTGTCAGAATTAGTGCAGTATGAGAATGGCAATATGGTACAATACAATAGTACAACGATATAGTGATCATATAGTGTGGGAAACAGTGCAATACCTGATCAGCTGTGATAGTGTCAAAGAAACGGCGGAAATATGGGAAGGTGCGATCTACAAGGTGACGTCGCTCGAACCGTGAGTTGTAATACTGAGAGCGGGGTACAGACAACTCAACCGGCCTCACTGGAACTGGGGCCAACAGAGTGAAATATGTGTAGACCCAAAGCTGCAAATCAAAGGCAAATAGATGACATGAGAGAACGGATCAAATGAGCAAGAAATACAACAGTAAACAGAATGTAAAGCATATCAGAAAAGTGAGTGTTAGATGTACCTCCCAAACCCTCCAGTAGCCGCCGAGTGAATCCATCTTACGGTGGGAAACGAAGCACGTGTAACAGTATAAGGTGGCCAGACCTACGCCACCCCAGTCGTAATCCGCTACCCGAGGAAGATGCACCAATGCTCCTAGAATGTATAATCTCATGGTATTTTCCCTGTTTGCAAACAGGGTAGTGCTGAGGAGATATATGAGGAACCACGGGTGTACTGGGCAACCTCGTCTGCAGTGGCTGGCTGTGTGCCGGAGAAGTGCTCCAAGAACCAGCTGTAGCGCACCATCCTGTGGCTGGTAGTGTCTGGGATCGCCCCAAGAAGTTGGAGCTATGCATCTCTCCACTGAGTCATATCTGGATCGAAAGGGACTGGGCCGCCAACCCCAACCCGCAAACCGATCAATATCAAGAAGTCATATGGGGTCAGTGTCATATCTCCGGTAAAAGAGAAGTGAAATGAGCTGGTGGTGTCCCACCATCTCTCTACCAAGGCCCCATAAAGCCAAGACTCGACCCTCGTCTGGATAAACCCGGAGCAAAAGGGCCCAAAGCCAGCAGCATCTACCGAAGTGCGGACCTCTGCGGGAAGTCGCTCATACCAATGTCGGGGGCCAGAGATAGAGCCGTAGCCGCCTATCCTCCTGGCGATCACCTATTAATTGGAAGTTTTATCAGTATATGTGCAGTAGGGATAAGTGATTTGTTCATCAAGTTCAACATTTCAACATGTGCGCAAAGTAAAATGCAAAGTCAAATGGGGGAAGAGTTGTGTACCGTGGAAGCGTCAGCAGAGATAAGCTCCATGGGCTCTCGCAGTAGAGTATCCTCATCCAACTCGGGAATGAAGCCCTCGAATCTCAAGATGCCGCTAGGAGGTGGCACATGCGTACGCGGCTGGTATATGACTGCATCAAAAGGCCTCTCGGCAAGGGGGAGCAATGCAACGGCTTCCTCCGCCTCTATGTCTGCACCAAGGGCAGCACCAACACCTATGGCAGGCTCTGGAATGGGAACCTCGTCACTAGCCATGGAAAAAGTGAAGAAAAAGTGAAGGGGATGAGTGAAAAGAGGTGAAATCCTAAATTTCAAACCCTAAGTGAAGAAAAAGTGAAATTATTATTTGATGAAAAAAATTATCATTTTATATTTTAATATTTGTAAAATTTATCAATAATTTATACATATTTTTTAAAATCTACACTGACATATAATTTCTCCTTTTAATTTCGTTGGTCAACATTTAAGGGGCTTAATTATTTGTTGAGTTTTTTCTTTTTCTTTTTTACATTGAAACTCATCTCCATATGTCAATTAGAGGCTTGTAGATTTTATGTTGCCCAAAACTCTCCATGGGCGAAATCTACTGGGGGAAATCTATTACACTTATAAAATCACCTTAGTAATTTGAAAAAAATAGTAAAATATCTCTCTTCAATTTTTAGTAGTAGGAAAGATTCAATATGTTTTTTCTTTGTGACGAATTTCTTTGTGATGAGTTGAAATTTCTTTGTGATTTTTTTGTGAAATTTCTCTTTGAAGAGTTGAAATTTCTCTGTGGCAAAATTTTTGTGTAAAAATATTGAGAGATCCCAACTACTATGAAAATGTTGCATGCACTATGTTATAAATTCTTAATATGAGAACTTTAAACTAAAAACCCCTAGTAATTTTATGGGCAAATTACTCTAACGGTCCCTATAGTTTGGGTCTTGTGTCACTTTGGTCCTCAACTTTTCAATTATGACATATTTGATCCTGAATTTTGAATCGTGTTTCAAATAAGGACAATTGAAGATACCATTACTCAATTTCAAGGATAAAGTCGTCAAATTAATAAAATATAAACTAATTTGATTAAAATAAATTAAAAAAATATATTTTTGAATTTTTAAAAATTATTTCTACTCGCTATAAACAAAATCATGTAAAATTGATATATCTTTTAAACATTTATTTATTTATTTAAAGCCTAACAACCACCTATTATATAATTATCTTCCAAACACATAATAAAAATCAATTTAGTATAAATAAATAAATAAATAAATGTCTAAAAGATTTATTAATTTTATATAATTTTATCTTTGGTGGATAGAAATTATTTTAAAAAATTCAAAAATACTTTTTTGACATTTATTTTTATCAAATTAGTTTATATTTTATCAAATTTATGAATTTGCCCTTAAAATTGAGCAATGATATCTTAAATTGTCTTTAGTTGGAACAAGATTCAAAATTCAAGGTCAAATGTGTCGCAATTAAAAAGTCGGGGATCAAAGTGATACGAATCCCAAACTATAGGGACTGTTAATGTAATTCACCCTAATTTTATATACACGAGATCAAATTATAAAAAATGTCAAACATTTATTTTTGAAAAAAATAATGTGGATAGTTTTAAACGAGAATGGGTTTTGTATGATATTTTTTATAATTTAATTTTGTGTATGTAAAATTACTCAAATCACATATTGCACTTTTTCTATTTTTTTTTTGGGCAAATTACATATACCCCTTCGAGGTTTAGCAAAATTACAGATACCCCCTTGAGGTTTGAAAAATTACAGATACCCCCTAAAGGTACTATTTGCATAACAAATTAGGGGACAAATTGTTATGAAAATATAAACTTCAGGGGGCAATTTATTATGAAAATATAAACTTCAGAGGGATATCTGTAATTTAACTAAATCTCGAGAGAGGTATATGTAATTTGTCTTTTTTTTTTTTTTTTTCATCTGTTGGAATATTGTTAATGTGATTAGGTAGTAAAACCAACTAAGCTATTTGATTTGGACTTGTGTTCAGTTTCTTAAAAAATTGTTTGGGATCTATTTGTAATATAAACAAAGTTAAATTTGAACTTATTATTTAACCTAATAAATTTACATATACAAAACCAACTTTGTGATGTACAAATAAAATTACCTTTCGATTACAAAAAGTCAACCTAACTCGGAGTGCCCCCACCTTTTTGTTTTTATTTTTTTCAACTGTTTATTTTAGTTCACTTCCTTTGTACTTGTGTGTGTGGTGGGTGCAGGCTCGGCCTTCGGGCCTAAAGTCGATAATCAATTAATAAATTTTTAGGTCCTTCACATTCAATGAAAAAAATTAAAAATAAAAGATAAAAGATTTATGTCAAAATTACAAAAAATACTTAGCATTTCATTATAATAACTAATAAGTATCGCTTAATCCTCACTCTTCTTGTATTTTTAAAAACAAACAAATCAATCATACTTACATAATCTGATTTTTTTACAAAATCATTTTCAATGAATAACAATACTGATTATTTTAAATAGGTCTTTCAATTTTTTAATGGATCAATTTATTTTAAGTTAATTTAGGCCTTCCTTAATTTTTTTTGGACTTAAAATATACTTAATATGTTAGACTAAACTATAATAAGAGAAACTCCTTTTTTTGGGTCCATTTTCAATGGATAATAATGTTAATTTTTTTGAATGGCCTTTTAATTTTTTAATGGATCAATTTATTTTAAATTTGTATAAGTCTTTTCTAATTTTTTTAAACTTAAAACATACCTAATGTATTAAACTAAATTATAAAAAAAAATAATCCCTTTTTTTTAAGTCTATTTTAAGGGGCCTACGCCATAGCTGTGGCCTATGCGCTAGGGCTGGCCCTTTAGGCTCCCAATTCTCACAGTCAGTGGGCAACAAATTGTTGGTTGTGGCGTGAATTACACTTAAAGGGGCCTTTTTAATTTGGAAAAAATACATATCAGTGCATCTCTACAAAAATAATTATTATTTGATGAACAAGTTTATCATCTTATTTTTTAATATTTATAAAATTTATCAATAATTTATAAATATTTTTAAAGATTTACATTGACATGCAATTTTTCCTTTTAATTTTTGTTAGTCAGCATTTATAAATATATATATAAATATATATATATATATATATATTGTGGGTGTTGATTTTCGACCACATAACCAAACAGGGAACTTAGCTGGAGAGGGGAACTCAGCTGGAGAGCACCGGCAGAATAGATTAAATCCGAACACCTGCCAACAAGAAGATGAGAATACCGCAGTGGTTCCTCCACCCGGGGGCACTCCGACGATCAAGTCAGTAATCAATCTCTCTCAAAGATAACAAATAGTGCTTAACTCACTAGACAAAATATAAAAAGTATACTTTAGACCCATGGGGGTGCCTCACTTTTATAGTGATCAGTATCCAACTTCCCCTAGAAGTCTTACTTCATGGGACTCTATCCTTTACAAGGATAACATTTATCATAACTCACACTATTCAAATTAAGATAAACTTCTTCAAGAGTCCTATCTCTATCCAAATAGGTAGTTTGATGTCATCTAAGACTCTAGTCCTCTTGAATTCCGGTATTATCGCACTATATCTCGACATCAGGGTCCATCCACGTGGTACCTCTGCTAACAACCTCGGCCACGTGGACTACCCAAAAATATGTCCCCACAACTGCCTCCTAGGTTCTATTACCTCGGCAAACTGAGGTAATAGAACCTATACATGTACTCTTCCGACCGAGATCGTGACTTGTCGGTGCCAAGAAATAAGGACTCATATGTCCACTTGTCAAGAATCAAGAATAAAAAATCAAGAACCAAAAATCAAGAACCATCATGTTCTATCTCATCCAGGTCCAACATCTCAACAGAGATCACATTACTAGCAGAGATCATGACTTGCTAGTTCAAGAACATCAAGATCCTAGTATCATCTCATTGGAAACTAAAAATAAACAAGTTCTGCTGCCATCCAAATTCAACATCTCAACCGAGATAAATATCTCAACTAAGATCACACTTCTCAATCAAGATCATTATCAGATTGGAGCATACCAATCATGTCCCCATTGTATCGCATCAGTTCTACCCCCCGCCGCTTGATGTCAGCGCGAGCACGTCGGGAATCAAAATCATAATTTTTTGCCATCTTTTTCCAATTCTAGCAAAACCTTTTCATTTTCTCATTTCATGTCTACTTATGCCTTTAGACTCTCTTTCTCTTGGCCTCTGCAAACCATCATCGCTGCTCTTGAAGCATTCATTCCTGTTACAACTCTGGTCATCACTTCTGGCATGCACTCAGCAGTTCTGTTCCAATCATAATGTTGTTTGACTCCGGCGAATCCCTTTCCGGTATTTACTTCCTCGGCTTCACTTTGTAAGTCCTTGAGTTCTTTTATTTTAACTTTAGTTCTCCACTGTTTTCAAATATATTCCTTCTGTGGATTGTTACACATCATACACGATATCTGTATCTGTATCTACATTGTCATCTTGTATTCATATTCGAATCCCATTGTTCTACATGCCTTTGCTTGCTTTGACTCATATTTTGTCCTTCATGTTCTTGAGCCCATATTCACATTTTTTCTGTACATATCTTCTAGAACACTGTCATTGAATTCTATCAATTTTGTTCATTCCCTGAATCTATCAATGCTCTATTTTTCTTGTGTTCTTGAGTCTTTGATCACTGTTTCATGTTTTTGAGACCTATTTCTTCTGTCTGTTCTTGCTTGTTAGTAGATTACTGCCTCTGAATCCTGTACATTTGCATAAACGTAGGTTTGGGATTTGCTAAAATCCACACTTAGGAAAACTAAAACAAATTTTACCTCCAAACCTTCCTCATAACCCTAAAACTAATAACCCAGCAGTCCTTAAGGTTTCGCCGAGGTCTTTAACCCACATAGTCCAACTTTCCTTGCCAAATTCACCCTAGCCGAGGTCATGGGGATGTTCAAATGGAGGGTAAACTTCTCCAATAAACTAGAATACTTCCGTCAGGAATTCTTCATTCCAGCTGACGTTCATTTAAGGTTAGTTGGGAAGGAGGATTCTATGATGCCTGGAGAGACATATATGCCCTTCCATGTAGTATCTATCATTTGAGGGTGGAGTCAGATTCCATCTTGATATCTTGTTTTGCTTTGGGCCGAGGTGCCTTCTTTGGTATCTGAACAAGTTGTCTTTTTGAATTAAGTCCTTTTTTTGACTAAGTGTTCAATGCTTGTCTCTGTCTTTACTGTCT